CAGCAGCCACCAGCACCGACAGCCCACTGTGTCAGGCACTGGGCTAGGGGGTCACACACACTGTCATATGGTCCTTACAAGGATCCCTCGTGAGAGACACAGAGAAGCTGAGGCTCAGCCATGTTAAGTGACTTGTCCGAAGTCACACAATGGGGGTTGAGGGGTGGAGAGAGTGGGACCAGTATGGAACTCCTGCACACCCACAGTCCACCCCCGTTGGAAACCCTTTTAAAGGCTTAAATAACCCTCGGGACCAAATTCTTTTCCCCAGCATCGAGGTCCTTCTGGACCGGTCTCCTAGCCTGCCAAGTGACCTTGGGCGGGGGAGGTCATCTGACATGTTTTCTCATCTGTGGAAGGGGGGCCACGAGAACGAAGGGAGGTGTACATGCCCAGAGCTTGGCATCTGGCCGAAGCTCGAAAGTGCCCTTCCCGTGATCTGTGACTTGTCTCGGGCCCATCTCTTAGGACCGCTGACTCCAGCGCGAGGCACCTAGCCCAACATCTGCCCGACCTTCGCCGTGACCTCTGACCCCACAGACGCGGGCGGGGCATGCGCCTTGATGGTGCCGGGTCACAGGTCCGCTAGCGGCGCGCTGAAGGGCACCCGGGCCGCGCGTCGTGAGCCGACCGAGATGAAGCCTGGCGCAGAGTCGACGGGGCCGACGAGAGCACCGCACTCACCCCCCGACGCCGCGCCGCCGAGGTCCGGCTCCTAACAGCTGACCCCTGAGCACCCACCTTGAAGCGCTGCCTCTCCTTCCCTTGCTGAGCGGCCTGCCCGCCGAGAGGCGGAGCCTACACTCTGAGACGCTGCCATTGGGCCGGCTGGTTTCACCTTTTCCGCGCTCATCTTTTACGGCGTACTCTGATTGGCCAATAGTGCCCCTGAAAGAGGCGGGATCCAGCAGCATCTTTCCTCTGATTGGCTAGGGGAGAGCAGGCTCTTGAAGTTGCGTAGGGCGCCTCCATGTTGGGTTGGAGAGGCCAATAAGCGAGGAGCCCCCACCACCGCAGGCGGGACATCCGGGGCGTGGCTTAGGAAGTGGCTCCGGGTCGGACCGGACGTCCCGTGCTGGAGGCCGGCAGCTCACCGCTGCGGGTTGTGTGTGATAACGGTGCTGAGAATTGCGGCCGGCAGTGATTCCGCGGGAGCCGTGCCTGCTCGGCGCTAAACCTTTACCCAGGAGCTCTGTATGGAGGATTATTCTCGCCTTACAGCTGGGGAAATGAGGCACGGGCTGCAAAGTGCGGCCGCCTGAATCCCACCTGGATCTGTGTGACTCGGGATCCTTGTCCCTCAACAGCCACCAAACCTGTTTCCTCCCAGTGGATTGATTGTGTGGCAGAGGGCCCCCGGAGGTTGCGGGCACCGAGAAGGCCCTTGGGACCGCCTCTGTGTTTTGGGGAGAATGGGAGGTGGTCATGGAAGGCTTCTTGAATGATGTGATGTCCAGGCTGTCCGCGAGGAGGAACAGGGCAGTCCAAGGGCAGAGCAGGCGTGCCCACGTGCGCGCAGAAGTCCTCTTGAAAAGGAGCACGCCGGGTGTGGGGGCACAGGGCCATGGCGGAGCCCCCCAAGGACTCGTGTGGGTCCTGACTCGGCGGGCCGCTGAAGGGACTCAGGCTGGGGGGTGGAACGGTCCAGCTTGGGAAGCTCCTCGGGTGCCCTGAGGTCGGGCCCACGGGGAAAGGGGAGGTGATAGATGGCCCCGGGCCTGGTGTTCCGTGTGTGCATTGGCAGGTTCTACAGCATGATACAACCCTCAGGACTTTTCTCAAAGATGGGACTTGGCAGGTGAGCAGGGAGTGTTGAGCAGGGATCCCCCAGGGTTTAGTTTGGTGGGTGAGCGGATGAGGGACCCGTTTCATGGCATCAGGGCCCCGGAGGGTGAGCAGGACAGGGAAGAGGGTGAGTCCGATGTGGGATGTGGCGAGGGGAAGACACCCAGTCCCTGGGGATGAGACTGCTCAGAACTCCCAAGGGGCCTGAGGGGAGACAGACTGACCCCACGCAAAGGAGGAGACAGGATGCCGGGAGCTTGGGGTCAACAATTCATTTATTAAACTGCAAAATTGAATCCTCATGACGATCTCCAAAGGTGCCAAGACATCACCTCCACTGTGCAGATAGAAAAACAAACTCAGGGAGGGAGGGCAAAGATTTTTTTGCCCAGGGCCTGGGCCACTGCAGGTCTGTGGTGTGGCCTGGACCAGACTCCAGGGCCCCTTCTGCACCCTTCACAGGAAGGGGGGTGACTCAGAGGCATCCCTGTCTGCCGGCCTCTCCCAGGACACAGGTGGCTACATCGGAGGTGGGAGAGGGCAGGTTACTGCCTTGTTTCCCATGCTCCCTCACCGTGGCCCGTCCTAGCCGGGGGGGGGGGGGGGGGGGGGGGGGGGGGCAGCCAAGGGAGGAGGCTGAGGGCTGGAGGAGAAGGCCCCGGGAGGGAGGAGGGCAAGGCCGGTCCGGGCTGTGGTCTTTTCCTCCTTGTGTGTGAAGCCCAGGCCACATCTCCAGGAGCTGCAGGTGGCAGGGGCAGTGGACTCAGATGAGAGTTGGAGGGACACCCTAGTGCCTGAGGCGGGCTCAGAGCAAGGTACAGCTGCAGCCACGGGCCTCCATGGCCATCAGCAGCACCCTCAGCTTGCGAGGTGAGTAGGGCGGGTAGCGGATGGAGTAGATCTTCTCCATCCCGGGGCAGCGCAGCAGGCAGGCGCGGTGGTGGGAGAAGGTGTCAAAGGAGAACTTGCCGTGGTAGCTGCCCATCCCACTGGCACCTGTACAGGGGCATGGGAGACAGCGGTCAGCCCCTCGGTGGCCAGCCGAGGGGTGTCAGACAGACCTGGGCTCTGCCAGTCACGCACAGTATGACCTCGCCTCCGAGCCTCAGTTTCCCCATGTGTAAAATGGGCTTAGCCCCGAGCCTGCAGCAGCTCACCAGAGGCTGTGGCAAGATAGGTAGACAGTGGTCAAAGGTGTGGATCCTGGAATGACTGCCCAGAGTCGATCCCTGCTCTGAATCAGTTCACCTTGGGCAACTGACTTTGCCTCGGTCTGCTTGCATGTGACACCGGGTGACCATGGCACCCACTTCCTAGAGCTGTGGGGGTCGGGCGGGTGTTCAGGCCCGTGGACGAAGTAAGTCCTGGGGTGTGTTAGGAGTCTGAAGTATCCAGGTGGGGAGGCAGTCAAGGACCAGGCTTCGGCACCGCAAGTCCAGGAGACCCAGGATGGGTGGGGTGGGGGCAGTGAGGGAGGGCTTCCTGGCGGGAGTGAGGTCTGAGGGACGTACAGTTGACCAGATGAAGAGGCAGCGCTCGGTGTGGGCAAGAGGGGCCCAGGCTTGGGGACAACCCAGCCTTGGAGGTGGGTGGCCTGGGCAGGGCTCAGTGTGGCTGGGGCAGCAGGGAGAGGAGGTGGGAGCAGGACCCCGTTGCCGAGCCGGGAAGAGCTGGGCCTCCGGAAGCTGTGAGTCAGGGCCTTGCTCAATCCTGGGGGGAGTAGCAGGATCAGATTCGCCCCCAGACAGACCGCCCCACTAACCCTGGGGAGGAGGGGCTGGGACTGGAGACGGGCGGGCTAGGTCGGGGCTCCAGGGTCAGTGTCTGGCCCTCCCAGTCCACTGAGGAGGAGGTGGGCTCAGAGAGGGGACGTGGTTGCCCCAGGTCACACGGCCAGTGGGCTCGCTGGGACCAGCCCTAAGGTTTCCTGCCTCGGAGGCCAGAACTTTGCAGTGGGAATGGGGGCTGCCGGGGCCGGGGATCCCCGCTCACCCGGCTTCCCTCGGGCAGGGAACAGCCCCTATCTCCTGGGGGAGGGGGTGACATACCAAGTGCTGGACTGAGGGGACACAGGAAGGGTTAAAGGGGCAGTTGATAGCCTCACCGTGGAATGAAGGGGACACACGAGGTTGCCCCGCGTGAGCTGGTAGGCAGATTCGGAGCCGTGCTGTTCGTGAGAAGGGCAGGGCCGGCGATCACAGTGGGGCTGAGAACCCTGAATTGTGTCTCCGTGGGCCCACCCACACGGGTACATGCAGGGACAAGTCTGGAAGGTTTCCTCAGGATGGAGATGTCGGGATGCCCCTCAGTCTGGCAACAGCTAGGGAAGGCGGGGCCGTGCCGGCTACCTACCCACTCCTCCAAAAGGCAGGCTGTCGAGGGTCAAGTGCATGAAGCCATCATTCCCGCAGAAGCTCCCACTGCTGGTCTGGGCCAGCACTCGCTTGACCACCTGCAAGGGAAGCAGCGATGAGACCCCGTGGCTGGGCAGCAAGAGGCCACCAGGAGGAGTCTGGCCACCGTGTAAGCCGCAGGGGGGTGTGGTCGCGTGGCACCCGACACTGAGCCCCCAACTCGGGATGTGTTTCCTGAGCATCTGCTCCGTGTGGCCCCTGCTGGGGATCCAGGCTTAGAGCCGAGAGGGAGGCGGGAAGCCCAGCGGTCGTCTGGGGACACGGAGAGTTCAGGGTGAAACGCCAGGTCGTCAGGGAGGCGTCCCAGAGGAGGGACGAGCTGCACCTGCGGCATCTCAGGGGGAAAGGGGGCCCCCCAGGCAGAGGGAGGGACAGGTGCAGAGACCCAGGGACTGGCCCATGCGGTGTGCAGCACAGGGAGGACATTGACCCAGGGCAACACAGCCAGATTGGTATTTTAAAAACATTAACTTGGCCCTTGCGTGACTTCAGGAAGATCTTTTCTCTTTAACCTATAGGTGTATTTGAAGAACGAGAGGGAAAGAAGATTAGTAAACGCTAAATAGTCGTTGCCGAAAACTTGGCTGTATTTAGTTTCAACACGTGATCCTGAGCTAATGGCTTGTCTGGACGGTGGGTAGAGTGAACCCCCCCACCAGGGGCTCAGGAATCACGTGGAGGCCAGCAGCAATCGCGACAGAAGATGGGACAGGAGTGTCACAGTGCTTCTCGGGGAGTAGGGGCAAGTCACGGGGGCAGCCAAGCCTCATAGGTGTGATTCTCTGTCTCCCAGGCAGTGCTGGGCCTTCAGAAGAGCTTGAAAGTCACTCTGCCAGACAACCCCCTTCCAGAAAACCCGGATTGCATTTTCTAAAGTTCAGTCTTTTAATTTTATGTTTTACCTTATTTTATTTATTGAGAGTGAGCACGTGCGAGTGAGCCAGGGGCAGAGAGAGAGAATCCCACGAGGTGCAGAGGGAGTTTGGAGCCCAGAGCGGGGCTTGAGCTCACCCGATGCGGGGCTCGAACTCACGAACCGTGAGATTACGACCTGAGCCGAAGTTGGATGCTTAACTGACTGAGCCACCCAGGCAGCCTACTAAAGTTAATCCCATCCAGGTAAAGCAAGGCTCCTTCGAGGAATGGCTGGTTCTAGGGCTGGGCGAGGGAAATACAGGATGAGCCAAAGCACCTTGTAGACCCTGAAAGGAAGGAAATGGTCCGAAGACAGAAGGGTGACTCGATGAATGGAGGGCTGGATGTCTGAGGGACCTAGCAGCTCCCACTGCCCAGAGCAGGACAGCTTGAGCAAGGAAACAAGCCAGGTGTTGCCTTGTAACCCAGAGGATAAAGCAGATACGAGCAAGTCCACGCTGATACAAAGAAGTGATTCCAGAGCGAAACCTTTCTGGCAGATTCCAGGTGATCTGTGCACAGATTCCCCTCCAGCAGGTGGAGCTGAATCACCCCCCTCCCGTGGAAGGGGGGCTAGTGACCGTTCCCAAAGAGGAAGTTCTCTTGGTGGAGACCCCTGGCGGACAACACCTCGGCCAAGTGGTGAAGGTTAACCTCACCCGCGATGTGTGGATCCCGCGGATCCCTGATAGGACGTCAGAGGCCAGCCCTTGCTTCCGTGGTAATTCTCTCACGGGCAATACCACAGACCGCTGAAAGTGGGGACGGTGTTGCCGGAGACCTTGACAGTAGCTCTCGAGCTGAGAGATGGTCACAGGCCAGAGGAGCCATGACAGCTGAATGCAACGTGGGACCCTAGCTTGGATCTTGAGGCTGGAAAGAAAGCTGGCAGAATCCGTATCAAATACGAAGTGGAGTTAACGGTAACGCACCAGCCTCAGCTACTTAATTTGGACCAACACACGGGCCCTTCAAGAAGGACAGCTGGTTGTGGGACTCCCTGGACTGGCTCTTATCTTCCGTAGATCTAAAATTACTCCAAAATAAACAGCTTATTGAAAAAAAATCCTGTCCAGCCTACGAGGGATCTCGTGGGAGCTGGGCGAGAGGGGAAGGTGGGCCCCGAACTGAGGACGCCCACCCAGTGCCCTGGAGGCTCCCAGGCTGCCCACAGCGGGTGAGCCGGTCAGGGGGCGGGGGCTCATTGTCCTGCTTGCGTCATCTGGTCCGTCACCCTCCACTGTCATTCCACCCCATGCCACGTGTGCCTTCGATGAGCCAGGTGCTGGAAGGGGACCCTTGTCCACCAGCCCAGATAATGAGGAAGACCGAGGTGGGGACTGATAGAGCAGGGACACTGAACCCCGGGGGGAGGTTCTGGGGGCTGTTCTCTAAAGGCCCAGGAGACGGTGGCTTAGATGGGAAGGAGAAGAGGTCTGACTGTCCCAGAGAAACAGGACCCCTCACCCTGCAGTCCCTTTGGTCCAGTCCAGTCCTAGAGCCACCTCCCCTCTGCTGCAACCACCCCACCATCCACTGCTGGCCTCTCTCTACCTCTGTCCGACCCCTACCCAGCCCCACCCGAGGCCCCACCTGTTTGTTGTTGGAGAAGGCGTACAGGGCCAGGGGTTTCTCCCGACGGTTGATGAAGTCGATGGCCTCGTCCAGGCTCCTCACGTTCACGATGGGCAGGATGGGTCCGAAGATCTCCTCCTGCA